ACTCAAACTTTCTACATCTCATTTAATGTTGATTTAAGATCTCTATGGGGCAGAAACAAAGAGTAGATGCTACTGGAAACTGGAAATTGGCTATACTTGACTGAAATGTAAAAAACAAACGAACGTTAGCAGCAACTTTTATTGACAAAAGTCTCACCAACACATGGCCATTCTGTATTAGGCTGGAAGTTTATCTAAACTTTCTTGGTACCTATGGATGAAATAAGACTTTGGACACAACCTGGAAATGGTTATGACCATTTCAATTTCCATCTTGGATTTTCCCTGGTAGTATGTGTCTGTATGTCGTATGTGTTGTGCATGTCAGTGTATGATGCTATTTACTGCCTAATTTTACTTGTTAGGTACATTTTATTCCTCTGCAAACAACTGAAATGGAAATTATTTCTTTATGAATTCCTGGAATTGTTTTAACTTTTGACAGGTTTGTTATTTCCCTGAAATCTGATTTGTCAGTGCAAATGGCCTTTGGAGGGGAGCACTGTACTTGGCCTGACATTGAAATCTGAGTCTATCTTATCACTTTCTTAAAAAACTTGAGAGTTGAAACAATCCAAAAGCTCAGATTCTTGAAGAAACCTGGAGATACTTAAGGGAGAGAAGACACAGAGAAGTGAACAGGGCACCCATAGATAAGTTTAATTTCCATTTATTATTTAGCACTAGAACAGAATTTGGTTGTTTGCAGCCTTTAATAACACACCTTTAAAAAAAAAATCCCTGTTTCATCATGATAGTTTCAAAAGCCCATTTATTTCCCTCAAAATGTACAAATAACTTTTATGTTATTTGTTTCAATTGCAGCTTAAGTATTAAGGACATAAAATAATATATTACAGTAATATTTGGAAGAAAAATAAAGAAATATTAGGAACAAAATGCAATATTTCAAGGAGACTAATTCCAGGTCTTACCAGTTGAGGAAAACTACATCTAACAATATCATTTTGGCCTTTAAAAAAATATGGTCAATTACATGTAATTTTATTATTATTAAAGTTGAATAGCATTAGATGCCTAACCAGTACAAAGGCCTCACTTTTGCCATGCAGACATTTGAAGCAAACCTGTTTTAGACCAAATCCTCTCCTATGAAGAGTTAAAATTTAGTTTAACAAAGTATTAACTTATTTGGGCTCATTTTTCTCAGGTAGATATTGAGGAGTATGGAGTGACTCTCTTCCAGTTTGAAAAGTCAGTAAATTTATTTATCTTGAAGACATTTTACATTTTACAGATGCTTCTTATGAACACTTATTGTCATGGAAAGTAAGATAATGTGTCCTTAATAGTACTTATAATAAAGGTTTTAAAAACTTTTCCAGCTTAAGCATACTGTACTATATTAACAATGACCATTAAAATAAATACTTACTATGATGCAAAAAAAGGTAATCTTCATGTTTTCCAAATCATATTATAGCATACAAACACACACACAGCTCATACATATATCCATTTATATAATAAAAATTAAATTAAATTAAATACAATTTTTGTCTTATGGTTTGAGGCCAGTGTAATTTTTATAACAGTGTCAGAAAAAGAGAGAAAAAGAAATTTCAGTGAACCTCAGTTTATAGATACAAAAACCCCAAGTAAAATTTTATTTTGTTTAAATTTTAAAAGTAAAATTTAATACAAACTGCAAATGTGCTAAAAATAATATGCCATCCCAAGTAGGGATTTTACCAGGTATAAAAGGATAATGACAAAAGGATATTGACTGAATAGTCAGTCAAATCCATCAATTCATTGTGTAAAAGAAAAAAATAACATGATTACCTCAATAGATGCAGAGAGAGTAACTGATAAAGATTAGTCACTATTGATGTTACAAATAAAAACTTCATAAAGATAGTAATGGAATGGAAGAAAATTCTTTGTGGTGGCAAAGAATTGAGAGCAACCAAATCATGCATTTATAATGGTGTGCTCTGTGCCAGCCAAACACAAGGAACCAAAATTTATATACAGTAAAATAGACACACATGAAAGAGATGTACACTGTAAGACTTTTTATGTGAAAATAACATGCAGATATCAACAGCAGCAGTATATATTTTGCAAGGCCAAATACATACATTTATATGTCAGGTGATTATAAGGACCAAAAGTAAATACATTAAAAAGGACCCCCAAATCAGATTAACACTGAGATGGGTTCAAAGAGGCAAAAACTAACCTAACCTAAACAAGAAAGGAACTTTGCCTTGACCAATGATGATACAATGTCATGAACTGACAGATATGATCAGAGAGATTCTCTATTTCTAAATAAAAAAGGTAATAAAGTAGCATATATTCTATAACCAGCATGGCTTCTACAATACAACCAACAAAAACAGTTTTGTTTTCTTTTTGGACTAAGTGTGAATTAAATAGAAAAGGTGGGGACATAGCAAAGGGGCCAGGCACAGAAGCCTAAATTCCTGTTCTACTACTTAACCACTTCTGTAACCTCAAGATCATCACTTAGCACACCACAGCTTAGATTCCTTAGTCTGCAAAATGGGGCACTTCTGTTTACCTCCCTTAGTTTTGTGTAGAATCAATCAATATAATAATACATGCCTGGAGAAGAGCATAAATCCCCAGCATACAGTAGATATTCTAATGTGTTTTCTCCATCCCTGTACCCCAGGCCTCACCACACAGGCCCCTCATAGTTAATAGTCTTCCTGCAGGAAGGAATCCTTAGCGAAGACTGCAACTACTCCTACACATTGTTCCACTGCTTATGCTCACTGAACTTTTCAGAAAATCTTTAATTTTTCAGGCCTATCTCTAAATTGCAGAACCTATGATAAGGCTACTTATGATCCCTAATAGGACTAATCAAAAAGGGGGAAAAGGCAGAATATTATATGCAATATACTACACATTAGCTTGTTCTATATGCATAAACGTGTAAGGAAGAAACAATTGGTTCTGCCATAAAACAAACCTGATAAATGTTGAGACAATTTCACTTCAGTTTTGCAGACTTAGTATTTTATCATTCCTGTATTTTTATAATTAACAATAGGACTGTAATTTTCTTCCATAATTGGTGAATTTATTGAGATATTTTCCACTCTTTGACTGATGTGTTCCATCCTCTACTTTTGCCCTGCTGTGTCCCCACAGTTATGATGCTCCAAATTTATAGTTCAGTTGTTTCTTGTTGTTGGTTTACATTCCTGTTCACTAGTTATTCATAAGATAAGGAGGAGAGGATTCTATGTAGAAAAGAACTTTTATGTAGAAAATTAGCAGTAGTGTTCTCAGAACAACTACTTAGTTTGTGGTACCATTCAGATTCTAACTTGGCATCTGTAATACTGCCTAATGTCACAAATGGGTCTCATTTATACAAAACTTTGACTATATGAGAAAGTTGAAGGGAGGGTTCATCAGAAGACAGTTTAGGTTTATAAGGGTTAAGTGATATTCAAGCTCTATGACAGTCTGTGTTTATTAACCAGTAAGAATATTGCATTCCACTAGTGAGACTCTGATGAGTATCATGGCTTCAGCATAAAAGAAATCAAGATTCTTTTGTTTTTTTAATTACCTTGAAGATGCAATGCGAATTAAGATTTGACTAAGCTGGACTGTGACTGCTACAACCATTACACGGTGCCCAGTGTGCCTTAGAAAATAGAGGTGTTATGCAAACAGTTGTCATGAATTTATTTTCTCTTTCAACACCTGATGGGAAAACGTGCTACTCAGCTAAAGAACTGCAGTGGAAATAATGATCATTCAAGACGTCTTCAAACTGCACTACAGATATTTAATTTAAAAAGCACATTGCCTGTTTTTGAGAGTCAGTATTTCCTTCTGACAAGAAATATCATTAAAGCATAGTGATGTTAGGAACTTAGGGATTTTTAAATCCTCATTTTCCTTGAAAACCTGGCTGAATAAAATACTGAATCTTGGTATGGAGCATTAAGTCCTTTTACAATGTTTTTCTCTGAACACAGAGAGTTTATTATCATCCCCCCTGAGGGCAGGCAGGAAGAATAAAGCTAACATTCTGATTTGCTTTGTTGGATCTGATGATACTTGCTTTCTCCCCATATCTCACTTTTGGATCTACAATGGTACTTCCAGACCACCTGCTCATCTCAGTTTGTTGTTATTCTTGGTTAGTTGGTTGGTTTTTTTCTCCTGTCACTGCCTAGATTTTTATATGTCTTAATTATTGTTGTGAGCACAGATGAAAGTAGTATAATTTAAATGGACTTAAGTGTCTTGCTTTTATAACAGTGATGCTTAATTTTTGTTTTTGTTTCCCATTGTTCTACTTTTCTTTGAGGGACCTTCTTTTGCCTGGTAACTACATATGACAAAACATCATATTTGATCTATAATCCAACACTATTAGGACTAGAAGGACCCTTCATACCTTGTCAAAGTCCTTCATTTTACAAACAAGGACCAGGCACCCAGAGAAGGGAATGATTTACGTAGGCCAGTGCAGCTACTTAGTGTCAGATCCACATCTAGAAATCTTTGTCTTGCTAAAGAGTTCTTGCTGCAACTCTTGATAAAGAGTTATTTTTCCTCCACATCAAGCTTCCTCTGTTCTATTCTCAACTTATGTAATAACGTGTGAAGAGATCTAGCAACAAACTCTTTATGTGGACTTCCCGGACTTGCTGGTCGATGACTTCAAATGTTTGACAGTGCACATGGCAATGTAATTTATCCTGTGACTGCAAAGATGACATCCTGTGAAAACTGCTTGATTCCTCCACAGAATTATTCCTGAAAGTCTTGTAGGTGGCTATAGATCCACAGCTTCCATAGTTTTCCTTTGAAATATACCTGAAAATATCATTCTCACTGTTAGTTAAAGACACATGCCAGATACGGTGACACAGTTATAATTGCTAATTGTAATGTGATTAATAATTGTATCCTTTTTTCCTCTCACCACTGTGCTGTTTCTCACATTCTGATTTATCCATCCTGTTTTGCTATTCTAGGTTTGTGTGCTGGAGAGGCAAATATTTGACTTCCTTGGATATCAGTGGGCACCTATCCTGGCAAATTTTGTACATATTATCATCGTCATTCTTGGTTTGTTTGGAACTATTCAATATAGACCTCGTTACATAACAGGAGTAAGTACCTTTTCTGCCTTTTTAAAATCTGATTGAACTAGAGAATGATGTGCAAACTCCAAAAGCCTTGAAAACTTATGCATATACTCTATCTTAAAGATGTGGATACTCTCTTTTAAGTACTGTGTTTATTTTCATAGTTTCAGATTCCATCAACAGTAATTGAAAATGTCAGGTTTAATGCCCTTGATAGCAGTGTAATCAGACTGAATTCTCATAATTTGTACTTTCGGCAAATATTCTCATAATTATGAGCCTAACTGTGTTTCTGTATTTCTAAATTATAAAATCATGCTCTCTGGTTTAACATATTTTAATGGGATTTTTTTCTCGTATTAAATAATCATTTTACATATTGAATGAAGAGTTTAAAATCAATACAAATGAACATACACTATTGATGTGAAAATATTAACCCACATTAGGGCTAATATTTAGCATATATGAAAGCCAGGATAATCTGGACAATTGTCTCTGTGTTCTCCATAATTCTCCTTTTGGCTCAGAGGAAGTATTTTGCATTCCCACTCAAGTTAAACTTACTTAACATAAAAGTGAAATCCAACTGTGTTGCAGTTACTATGGGAACCATAACTTGGGTTAGCTTTTGTATGTGCCTCAGATCTCAGCTACTGCTCTTCATTAATGTACATTTTTTTCTTTTTAGTTTCATCATTTTTTCTATATCTTCATTTTTGACAAAGGAAATGTCTATAGGCATTTATTTAAAATTGTAAAGCAGGTTTGTAGTAAAAGTACGTATATAAGATAGTACAATGAAAGCTCTGCCTTGTTCAACACAAACCAGCGGCCCTTCTCAGGTTTTATGAAAGCGTCCTCATAAAAGATGCGCCCCCTATAGCCTGTTCTTTCTGTCATGTAGAACCTGATAAAGTTCATTGGTGCAGAGTCAGGCAATGTGGTGGTGGCTGGAACCAAAGGAGCCACTGTCGGGCTAAGGAAGAATCAGAAGCCCATAGTCCTCACTTCTAGGTACATGCCCAGATCCCAGTGCATGTCACCTCGGAGGCTAGGTAGCCATCTACATCTTGTAAGAGTGGGAGGAGTCTGTTGCAGGGCGAAGTTTTTCAACGCACAAGATATGATAGTATTGTCCATTTTCTTTTATGAATTGTAATTTGATCCAGTGTAGGGAGGATTGTACAGTGGTTGAGAGTGAGTCCTCTGAAGTCATAATATCAGGATTGAAACCTTGGATCTGCCAAATTCTGTGTGACTTTAGACAACTTCACCTTACAAATCTTCAGTTTTCTTATCATTAAAATCAAAGTAATCTTTATATTAACTCATGATTTAATTAATTGATATATTGTTAGCCATTATATGAAAAAAATTTAACTTACCTTTCTTTTATTAGACTTTGAGATTCTTTCATGGTTTTATTCTTATAAATAACGTTGCTCTGAATATCATTATATAAATTTTTCATCTTACTGATAAAGTTCTTGGGATAAAATCTAGATGTGAGCCAACATATTTGAACTATTTAAAAACTCAGAGGTTAATTTTGAGGAGCAAGGGCGATATTCTATGAAATGTCCTTAGCATCATGCTTGATGTTTTAAAAGCCCCCAATAAATATTAGCTATGATATTTTTGTTTTTATTATTATTATTTAAAAATAATACTTATATAGCATAGAAATAAGCTGAAAGAAAATTTAAAATAGAGTAAGGTGCTCTAGATATTAGATGAACTATTTCTGTCCCTTTTTTTCAAAGATGCTACAATGCAAAAAAAAAAAAAAGTGTAGGCTTTCTATGTATCAAATTGTAATGTCATCCCTTTGAATAAAGACATACCACAGATCTTGCAATACTGGCCACTTTCTCTGGCATGGAATAAGAGTTATGATACTAAGGGAAAACACCTTTAAAATTGTTGGAAGTTTTGTTTATTGGGACTATTAGACACAACCTGAACTCTTTGAGAGGTCTTAACAATGAATCTCAGAGCGATATCCTTGATTTCATCTTGACCAGTAAACAGCGCTGTGAATTTGGGTTTTTTCTTAAGACAATGTCTTTGGAACTCTGTGCCAGCTAGAGATGATGTAAATTATAAACTTCTTTTTTCCAACTCAGCAAGTCCTGGGTTGGAAATATAGCCTCTAGATTCTGCTCGAAAATCTTTCTTTAGCTCATCTCTCTTTTACAATATCATGCTGTCTGTGGCTAAAAGATGACAAATAGCACTGTCATCTTTTTTTTGCTTGAAAATCCCTTTAACCAGGCCCACAAACTCATAGGCATATTTTCTATCTTTCCAGTTATTGAAGGCAATAGCTAAGATAATCGTTCTGGCAGTAAATAACGCGAGTCTTCTTTTCTCCGGCCCTCAGAAACAATTTCCTTTCTCCACTCCGAGTCTCCTTGCTGCCCTCCTGGCATCACTTGCCCCCTTATCTCAAAACCAATATTGTGTGTTTTAGGTTTAAGTATTACTGACTTCCTGGTACCAATTTCTGTCCTGGATATCTATGTCTGTGTAACTTCTGTGCAACAAACTACAATCGACCCTTGAACAATGTGAGGATTAAGGGCACCAAACCCCCCGAACAGTCAAAAATCTGCTTATAACTTTCAATTATTCAAAAACTTCAATAGCCTATTGTTGATTGAAAACCTTACTGATAAACAGTTGATTACCTCATATTTAATATGTTATTTGTGTTGTATACGGTATTCTTGCAATAATGTAAACTAAAGGAAAGAAAATGTTATTAAAGGAAATCATAGGAAAATATATTTACTATTGATTAAATAGAAAAGGACCACTGTAAAGGTCTTCATCCTATAACAATGTAACAATTATAATAAAAACTATAATTTTTATATTTGCCATATTTTCTGTGTAATATTTTTACATTATAAAATAATTTGATGTAAAAATAAGAAAGCATTTCTTGAATTCATGACTGAAGATTAACAGTTTTGCATATTCCCTTTGTGTATATACAAATGAAACATAACTGTGTATGCTATATATTCAAATATGTCTTAATTTAAATTGAACATTATAGCAAACAATTTAAAAATTGATATGACTATTCTATTGTTTCTTTAACCATTTGATATTATACATAAGCTATTTTTATATTTTTCTATTATATTAAATGATCCCCTATAATCATTTCCATAAAAAATACTCTCATCTTTTTTTGTGAATCATTTCTTAGGAGAAAGACCTAGGTATAATCAAATAATATGAACAACTTTAAGGCTTTTAGTATATAATTTACAATAACCTATTCAAAATTATTTTACTGAATTATCCTTCTACTAGTGTATAGCAGAGTCAATTTCACTGTATTCTTGCTAACCCTGTGTATTATCTGTTTCCACAGTTGTTAACTTGATAGAAGAAAAAAGTGTCACTTTCATTTTTAATTGCATTTCTAACCTTAGTGAGTTAGAATTTTTCATATGTTCATTACCCGTTGTTTTTTTTTTTTTATTTTATTTTTGAGGAACTGTCTTTTTTTTTTTCTGAGATGGAGCTTTGCCCTTCTTGCCAGACTGGAGTGCAATGGTGCCATCTCGGCTCACTGCAGCCTCTACCTCCTGGGTTCAAGCTATTCACCTGCCTCAGCCTCCCAAGTAGCTGGGACTATATGGGACTATAGGCAGGTGCCACCATGCCCAGCTCATTTTTGTATTTTTTTTAGTAGAGATGGTGTTTCACAGTGTTGGCCAGGCTGGTCTCGAATTCCTGACCTTGTGATCCTCCCAGCTCGACCTCCCAAAGTACTGGAATTACAAACCTGAGCCAAGGCTCCCAGCCAGGGAATTGTCTTTTGGTGTTCTTTGCTAATTATTTGCCCTGAAGTCTTAGTGTTTATCTTAATTTATGTAGATCATTTGATAAAGACATTTACCTTTAAAACATCGTAAAGTTTCCTTTTGATTTTTTTTACGTTTATCTTATTAAAGTTAGCTCTCTTTATTTGTGAAATTTTCTACTGCTTTTAAAATTATGAAATTCAAATACCATTTTGAAAAAGATATGTTTTCATTATCCTTAGGTCTAATTTTAATTTCACTAGAACAAAAAGGCAGATTTTCTGACATTGAGTCTGAGGACATTTGCTATATTTGAAGAGTTTCAAATTATTGATGGGACATTTTATTTTATTTAATTGGTCTTCCCTTCCCCACAAAAAGTATGTGGACTTTCTCTCAAACATTGAGCTTCTAGCAACAAATAAATGAGAGTATTGATTTTTGTTTTCTTCATTCATCTCCTTTTTCATAGTAGCAAAGAAAAAAATTAAAAGTTTAAAACAGATGATTGGAACAAGAACTCATTAGGACCATAGAGGGTCTCTGACACTTAGCAGAATATAATATGCTGAAGGAAAATGAAATAGATGATTTCTGGTCCCAGCAAAGGAAACCTGAACCCAGAATTCATAGAAATAATCTATCTTGTATAATTCTCAACCACATCAAATCCCAGAAAATAATTCATATATAAATATATACAATGACTCCCAGGAAAGCATTATTTTACATCATAAATAGAATTGTATAATGCATTATCATTTGGGGAAGTAGAATGTGATTTGGGATATCCAGTGTTTATTAGTTAATGACAAAATAATGTTAAGGACCTGCACTGTCACTAAGGAGCTGCTTTAGGTTGTCTAAAATAAACTGAGGAATATGTACGTTCCTATCCATTAAAGTCACAGCAACTTTCTCAGTGATACTGCCAAAAAAATGATGCCCTGTAACATGCCAAAATAAATTACTTTTCCTCCCTCCCTCCATCTCTTTCTTTCTTTCTTCTTTCCTTTCTTCCAAACTTAGTCTCCTAACTGGAAACATTTCAAAATAGCTAAAACTCTATCACTCAAATTTAAAGAGGATAGTTTACTAAAATCAGTAGTATTTATAAGAATCATATTTCTTTGTTCTTACCAAATCTCCTGTATATCTGTCTTTCTTGGCAAATTCTATAGCCCTCACATTAACTTGACACACTTTCGTTCAAACTCATACAGAAAGGAAATAGAGAGGAGGTGGACACAGGTTCTCCTGACAACCAATCTCCTTGTAACCACCACATTGAACTGCCTCTTTGGGCACCGTTCAGAGACCCAAATCTATCTGATAAATGAACAAAGGTGCTGTTAAGTTCTGAGCAAAGTTAAAATTCATTACAGAATTTGCCATTTCTAGAGGATTTAGATTTTAAGTTGTGATCTACCTCTCCCATACCAAGGATTATGTTTTTAGTGCCTTAGTTAATGGGGAGATAACCTCATGTCTATTTCTGTTCTAACCTTGGTAAAAGGTTAGAACGGAAAAGTCTTACTGATGAATATTTTACTCATCTGGGAGAACAATAACATAAACTGTCTTTAATCTCTAGTAACAATGAATTAGGATGGTATGTTGTTGTTCTTCTATATCATTCAGCTTTTTGATGGTGATTATATGCATATATAAACAATCTATAGAATATAAATCATATCTAATATCTATTATAATTATGTATTAAATAAGGACAAATGATCTATTTGTACATTTGCTGTTTGTGAAGAGTTTCAAATAATTGATGGGAGAATTTATTTCTATGTAATTGAATAAAATACTGAAAACATATAGGAAATACAAAAGGCCTAGGAAACACCAATATTGACATACATACATACATATTATTGTGTCTAATAATGAATCTTTCTCTGATATCAAATTAAACTACAATAATTATAAAATCAAATGAAGGAGAAGTATTGGGATTTCCTTTTTTCTTACTGATAAAGCAAAAAATTAAAATAATGTGGCTAAAGCTGATTTGATGAAGTAAGTCTATAATGGTTAGAAAGAGAAGCCAATATACATGAATCTTCATTTCTTATGTTGTAAGAATAGTAAACTCTAAGACTGTCATAATAACTTTGCTTAATCTTCCAAAATAATAAAGTAAATATTTCTTTTAGTCCATATTTTAAGGTTTGGAATGGTATGTTCTGATTAATGCTGAGCACTGAATTTCTGTTCACCAATTTAGGCTACTCTATTTTTTAATACAATTTTTTTAAAAAAATGTGATACATATGGTTGTTGGTGGCTGTTGATTTCTAAATTGACATACATCCTCCTTGTCCCCAGTGAGGCTAGGTCAGCTTCAGACAAAGTGTCACCTGCTTTGACTTCCTTAACTTTGCTTTTCCTGGAGCCAACATGGTGAAGAAAATGAGCCTCTTGACATCTTAGACAAAGCATGGGGCCACAGGGTGAGTGGAGCACCAAAGAAAAAGACAAGATTCACTTTGTAAAAGGATTACCATATGGCAACTTAAGAAATCTGTGGACACCTTAGTGGTTCTGTTAAAGCAAAGAATTGTGTGCTCAATTTGCATGGGGGAGAAAACCTCTAAATTTCTAGAATTGACTAGAAATCGTGGCTGATGATTGCCACGATTTGATTTTTAATTGCTTATGGAGCTCAGGTCTCTGTAGAGACTGTCGCCAAAGGCAATAAATGGGGAGCACTATGCCCATTTTTTAGGTCATATGCTTTTCTTTTTTTCTTGGTATAAAATTTTTTGTTTTATTAAAAATATTGGTTTATTAAAATTAAAATTTTGGTCTTAATTAATTTATTTTATTATGCTTTAAGTTCTGGGGTACATGTACAGAATGTGCAGGTTGGGTGTATACTCAAAGGATTATAAAACATTCAACTATGCATATATATGTTTATTGTGGCACTGTTCACAATACCAAAGACTTGGAACCAACCCAAATGCCCATCAAAAATAGACTGGATAAAGAAAACATTGCACATATACACCATGGAACACTATGCAGCCATAAAAAAGGATGAGTTCATGTCTGCTACAGGGACATGGATGAAGCTGGAAACCATCATTCTCAGCAAATTGACACAAAAACAGAAAATTAAACACTGCATGTTCTCACTCATAAGTGGGGGTTGAACAATGAGAACACATAGACACACGGAGGGGAACATCACACACCGGGGCCTGTTTGGGGTGGCAGCTAGGGGAGGGATAGCAGGGGGTGGGGAGATTGGAGAGGGCTAACATTAGGAGAAGTACCTAATGTAGATGACAGGGGATTGGATGCAGCAAACCACTATGGCATGTATATACCTATGCTTTTCTAAAACTTAGTAATGTTACCTCCCTAAAAATTCTTACATTTCTGCAAATCATTTCTAAGAAGTCATTAATCTATGTTCAAGTAGTTGTTTTGCCACTTTGATTCAATTTTTCCAAGAGAAAAAAAAAATCTGAAAGAAAACTGATTATAGCTAAAGCATTAACAAATGCATGCTTTCTGTGTTTCGGACGGAAAATCAATGCAGATTAGAGATGAAGAGACTTGAGATAGTAGTAAATTAACAATACTTCTAATGACTTAGAGTAGTTGTGAAAATCGGTCTTTTCCCATAAGCCTTGAAGGGAGGGGGAAAAAAACATCATTACAAGTTTAATGGATTTAGCCTGTAGTCCTAAAATAAATGTAATAATGCAACATTGTAAACGCAATTTATTCTCAAAAGAATGTATTCCCTTGGGGAAATGTGGGCCATTTATTCTACGAGAAGATACTTTGTGCTCTCATTCTGGTGTTAGGCTATGACTAAAGATTTATAGGATGTGGTACACATAAATAATTACATTTGACAGTCTAGATTCACTTTTTTAAATCATCTAATAAGTTTTTTTAAATGAATTTTGAAGGAAAGATATGTTGGATATGTATAAGTATTAGTTTCTTTTTCTTAAATAAAATATCAGATTAATTTATGTAGGTTTTTTTAATCAAAAAGAAAAATTGAGCTTGTAATAAAACTTTTCTTCCATACTCTTATCCAGCTGTTCAGAATGTCTTTATAGTTCTGGGGTTACCTCAGAAGTGTGTGTGGGTGTGTGTGTGTGCGTGCGCGTGCACACGGGTGTGTGTGTGCTGCTAATTGTTGATTTTCAGCTTTAGGCAATATCTAATAACAACCGGCCCCAAATCATTTGGTCTAATTTATTTTTGAATTATACCTTTTTTTTTTAGATGGAGTTTCGCTCTTGTTACCCAGGTGGGAGTGCAATGGTGCAATCTCAGCTCACCGCAACCTCCACCTCCTGGGTTCAGGCAATTCTCCTGCCTCAGCCTCCTGAGTAGCTGGGATTACAGGCATGCACCACCATGCCCAGCTAATTTTTTGTATTTTTTAGTAGAGACAGGGTTTCACCATGTTGACCAGGATGGTCTCAATCTCTTGACCTCGTGATCCATCTGCCTCGGCCTCCCAAAGTGCTGAGTTTACAGGCGTGAATTATACATTGTTTTTACAGGTTTTCTTTCCCCTCTGAAGTTTCTCATTGCCTTTTTTTTCTTATAAGAAGCAAAAGAGGCCTTAAGTGTATCCTAAATACGTTTTTAATTCATATGCATTCTATTGTTTGATATTCATTCTGTTTTAATTTTTGAAACCCATTGCTTTTCCATTTGCATTTAAACAACTTTTTTATATTTGACCATATAAATATAAAAAATATCAGTAGCTTTTTGTTTTTAATGCTATGCTCTTCTCTGGAGATTTCTCTTAGAACTCTGTCATTTTGCTCCTATGTAAACTGTTTGCTCTATAGCCTTATTATACATCTATCTCTCCCATCTTCTGAAATCGATTCATGCTTTCTTAAATTCCATCTATTTTCTGTTTGATATTCTTCAAATAACCTCCTGAAAAAGCATGTTTGGGAGGTAAACTTTCTGAGTTTTATCTGTCTTGTGACAAAGAATGACTTTATTGTACCTTTACATTTGAGTACTAATTTGGCCAGGTGCAGAATTCAGGGTTGAAAATCATTTTTATCTGAGAATACTAATGGAATTATTTGCAATCTAAGAAGCAATGTTGCTGATAGACAGTCTGATATTAATCTGTAAATAACTTTAAAAGAAGTGCTTGAGATATTAATTTTATTCTTGTCTTGGCATTTCAAAATGGCATGTCTAAATGTGAACCTATTTAAAAATTGTGTAGTTTTTTTTTTTTTATTTAAACACTTATAGAAGACTTTGTTGTGACTCAGAAAATCATGCTCCAATGTATGAGGATTTTGAACTAAAGGAGTAGTCTCAAGGTCTCACTGACCATCCTCCATCCTCTGTCTCTAGATCCTCTTTCCCAAAGCACCAGAGGCCCTTTCTCTGAAGTTCACTTATCTTACTGAGGTAAGTTCTTCCAAAAGAAATGCAATTGTCTTGAAATCCCTCCCTAGGAATTTCATCAAACAACCAGGGAAGATTAATCACTGGAGAGAAGATTAAATGTCATCACCACACCCTGACAGTCTATCACTTATTCTTCTGGAGGCTGCTTTTATTACCTGAGAAGCTTTATCTGCATAATAAGACCACCTTTGTGCATCCTGTGGTTCCTCCTTTTTACCCCTCCCTTAACTTGTTATCACCTCCCAGAAAAGCCCCTATTCCTTTATGCTATAAAAACTTCAACCATCTGGCTACTCCTTTGAGGTTTATATTTTGTGTGAGTCTCATGAGCTTAAATAATGTGTATGCCTTTTCTCCTGTTTATCTATTGTGAGCTTATTTCAGCAGACTCAGTTGTCAAAACTTCAGAGGGAAAGTTTGAACCTCCCTACACCTTCAGTTCTGGACTTTGCCCGTATCATTTGATGATTCTCTGTGCTTTTCAACATTTGCCTTTGCTATGCTATCCCCAAGTAATTTCATTTAACAGTTATTTTATGTTATAGTTTTACATTTATTTATGAAAAATCTCCTGTTTTCCCTAGAGAGATAAATGTCTGGCTGGTCTTAAATTGTTAGAGGATTATTGCTGTTTTCCAGACCACTTTTCACACTGACCTTTGGTCATATGTTTCTTACCTAAATCTCCAGAGTATACAAAAATCTTGCTAGCAGTCCAGCTTTTTTGTGTCTCTTTCTCCTGCATACATATGATAGACTGCCAGTTGCTCCATTCTGCTTATTAATCAATATTGATCTCTTGGTCGTCCTCTTCAGGAAATTGGTTGAAATCTCTTTGTTTCTAATGTTTTACTACTAATAGTTGTAGGACTCTACTTGTTGTATGCTCAGTTTACCTTTTGGAACCAAAAGTGTAACAATAACTATTAAATTGCATTAAATATATTTTACTTTGGTGTGATATCCTTTTTATCAATGAGAGCTGAGCAGATGACATTGTTATACAAGATATGGAAATCTAATGGCTTTAAAAAGCCATTAATTGGGGCCGGGCGCGGTGGCTCACGCCTGTAATCCCAGCACTTTGGGAGGCCGAGACGGGTGGATCACAAGGTCAAGAGATTGAGACCATCCAGGTCAACATGGTGAAACCCCGTCTCTACTAAAAATACAAAAAATTAGCTGGGCATGGTGGCGCATGCCTGTAATCCCAGCTACTCGGGAGGCTGAGGCAGGAGAATTGCCTGAGCCCAGGAGGCGGAGGTTGCGGTGAGCCGAGATTGCGCCATTGCACTCCAGCCTGGGTAACAAGAGCGAAACTCCGTCTCAAAAAAAAAAAAGCCATTAATTGTTCGCCTGTTATACGATATGCACCACGTTATGGGTGAACCATCGTAAGAAATTGTCCAGAGGTTTACATTTTAACAGACGAGGAAACAAATATTTAATCAATGAATGCAACACTTTTCATATGGACTGTGCTAGAAGTAGTATGTAGAGAATAAATCAAAGTTCTCAGATACTCGGAACAGGTTAGGCAAGTCAACTGGGACTGGGGAATCGCAGAGTGGGGGCAGGATGATTCAAGAGGTGCTTTATGGAAAACATGACCCATAAGCTGTGATTTAGATAGACTATCAGCAGTAGTAAATACATCACTAGAAAGACAGGAAGGGGAAAATTCCAGGCAGAAGCAGACAAAGCTAACAACAAAAGCAAAACACTGAAGTGTTAAAAATATAGTTGTATTTTTATTAATTTATATTAGAGTGGCATGGTTGTTACACAGGGGCTGGTTGAAAGATAAGACTAAATATGTAGGCAGGAACCAGACTGGGAAAAATTTGCTTAACTGTGCTAAATTAGTTATATGGGGCATTATTAGAAAATTGAAGAGTTTATGTAGGGAATGGTCCTGAGCTGCTAGCATCCTAGAGAGAGATGTAAAGACATATGTTTACTGATATTTTTTGAGAAGAGACAGGCTATTGGTGAAGCCATGCACCAAGGCAAGGATTAAAACAAGGGGAGCTATTGAGGAAAATGTTCAAATTTGTTTTAGACTTGTCAGTTTTATAAGTGTGACCATGTAGGGCTGTGTCTTAATCCTTTATCGACTGTGTCCTATTGACTTGATGCTACTTTTAGATAAAAATAGCAAATATTTTCTTATATGTAGATGACGTGGTTTTGTCATCATACGCTATAACTGTCTTTGCTGAGTATCTTTATTAGATACCTGGTATGTTAAGTAATTAGTACCGAAACTGTAATAATACCTTTCAGTTTTTCTAAAATGACAGTCAGTGTTTAGAGGAAAGCCTCCAACATTTCACTAGCCTATGTTTACTTTATACAGAGAATTATCTAATATAATTATTTAGATGTATATTTTGCAACCTATTTATTTTATAGAGTAGGCAGAGTCATGGCATTCTGACTTTTTATGACTAAAGAAAAAATTTGAGTATGTGCACCCAAAACAATTCTCTGGTTTAAAATCAATTGCAGCAAATTTTTATGTTGGTAGAATCTGTGGGACATTGATTATCCTTGGTTGGCAAGTGAAAACCCAGTGTTTTCTCTAAAAAGTATCATGATCCTGGTATTGCACTTCATTAGCCTATCTATGTGGAAATGGGGGTGTTTATATTATATATATATATATATATATATCACAAGTCTTATCTGGCTCCTCATTCCCGGTGTCATTCCAAACACCAGCTAACTGCCCACTACTGAAGCCCATGGGCCTCCATATAACCAGTATGAGAGACTGTCTGCCTTCATAGCAATTTTTTATTTTTTGAGACACAGCTCTGTTGCCCAGGTTGGAGTGCAGTGGTGTGATCTCAGCTCACTCGATCTCTGCCAGTTGAGTAGCTGGGATTACAATCAAGCACCACCATGCTCTGCTAATTTTTGTAGTTTTAGTAGAGACAGGGTTTGACTATATTGGCCAGGCTGGTCTGAAACTCCTGACCTCAAGTGATCCACCCGCCTGGGTCTCCCAAAATGTTGGGATTACAGGCACGAGCGGCCGCACCCGGCCTCATAGCACTTTTTGGTAAAACATCAAAATTACTGCCATTTGATGTGAACGGAAAGGGATCCAGATGCAGACCCAAGAGAGGGTTCTTGGATCTCGTGCAAGAAAGACATCAGGGTGACTCCATAGAATAAAGTCAAAGCAAGGTTATTAAGAAAGTAGAGGAATAAAGAATGGCTACCCATAGATGGAGCAACGCCGAGGGCTACTGGTTGCCCATTTTTATGGTTGTTTCTTGATTATATGCTAAACAAAAGGAGGATTATTCATGCTTCCCCCTTTTAGACCATATAGGGTAAGTTCCTAACATTACCATGGCATTTGTAAACTGTCATGCCACTGGTGGGAGTATAGCAGTGAGAACTCGGTCATTCTCGGTATTGGTGAGTTTTAGCAAGCTTCTTCGCTATAACCTGTTTTATTAGCAAGGTCTTTATGACCTATATATTGTACTGACCTCCTCTCTCATTCCGTGACTTAGAATGCCTAACCATCTTGGAATGCAGCCCCATAGGTAGTTTCACCATCATTTTACCCAGCTCCTGTTCAAAATGGAATTTCTCTGGTTCAAAGGCCTTTTACATTGATAATTACCAAAAGTTCAATTAAGAAAAATGATATTTATGGAGAATTGCTTACAGGATAAGAGGTTCATATATTCTGCCAGACCCTAAAATATCATAGGCAGACTTTCATCCCTATACTGTGTCAGTTTACTGTTGGCAGGGTGTTTCTTTTTTACAACTGGAATGTATTTTGTTAATGTTATTAAACTACATTGAGTGATTTTATAAGAAACACACTTATGATGCTTATTTATTTATTATGAAGATTTAGTTGAAAGTATTGCTTTAAATAGATGCACGAGAAAACAACCTACCTCTTGTCTCAATCCTGAAACTAGTGATACTTTTCTTGTGCATTAGGTTGCTCTATCTTGCAGTCTAGGTGAATTTACACATTAGTTGCTAGTCATCTTAAGACTGAATTTGTGACTTGCCAAGTTTTTTCAAAAGAGACATAATAGGTTTGTTTTTTGGCAAAAAATAATACCCTCTGATTTTACTATACAAATATTTATTTTGTGCTTACTGTGTGTTAGGTACTCTTCCAGGCGTTGTGCATTAAGCATTGAAAAGACAGAAGTCTAAGCTCTTATGGGAAGACAGACAATACATAGGCAATAAATGTTTAACCATCATCATCATCATTCATTATCAGAGGATGATGCAAAAATATAAGTGATACATATACACATATTAAAAAATCTTTATATCTTAGACATAGCAAGATCTCTATCTGAAGTACTTTTCTAGCATTACACTAAAGCAACAGCAACTAATAAAATGGCAGTTGCCAGTAAATAACCCAGAAAAACTGAAGACAAGAACGTTTAGATACAGAGAAAAAAATTGAGAAAAGTATAAAATGAAAATAAAAACATATTAAAAATCCTTTTAATCACAGATAATTGCATTATAATTTAAAAAATATAAATATACATATATATTTTTTATTTTCAAAACTAGTATTATACATGCTATTTTGTGACGTTTTTTCACTTGTCTTATCATTAACTTCTATTTAATTTAAAATTGCCAGACTACTCTTTTAGTGTGTGAAATCAATTTAAAAATCTGTGAAATGTGCACATCTTTGCCCATTTTGTGACTTGTCTTTTACTTGTTCGTTTGTATTTATAGATTGCAATTTGTTTTGATATTATAGATATTAACCTGTGACCATTAAATTTGTATCAAAAATGTATCCAGATTTATCTAATGTGTTTTTATTTTAGAAAAAAATAAAAAATTTTGGCCAAAATAATACTTTAATTTTTATCTAGTACGGTATTTATAGTTTGAGTTTTCTGTCAGATGTATAATATATACCGATCCTAAGTTATATATATATAATTTTGTATATTTTCTAATATAGTTGATATTTAATA